TGAGATGGTTAGACAGTGTCATCGATGCAACGAACATGAAATTGAGCCAACTTCAGAGGACGGCGGAAGACAGGAGGGCCTGGCGGGAGATGATCCATGGGGTCGCGCAGAGTCGGACTCGACTGTGTGACTGAACAACAACAACAACTTCTACTTTCTACTTAGGACAAACTGGTTCATGAAAAAGAAAGTATACAAGTGTGGTGTCATAATTGGCAACATTTTCCGAACATGTGGTACAACCTTTCAGTCTTCGGGGATGCTCTTTTGCTGATTTGAAAGTCATCTTTTTCTAACAAAGGAATGTTAATGGGAGACTCCAAGAAGACTTTGCTGAATTAGAATTTATTAAGAGCCTGGGTTGTATCAATGGAGAGTCAAACAGGGCTGGTATCTTACTTAGGTGTTAAATTGCTCAACAATTTCCACCATTTATTGCACTTATATACTTTTGCAAAGAAATATCACAGTCTGTTATCTTCTACATTATATGGCCTTTTAACTCACACATTTTTCTTTCCTTCTGCTCTGTGTATATTCAGCTAACTCAAGCTTCACTTCATCCATCTGATGACTTGGGATCTAGTCCATGAAAGGTTATGCTTCGTGATTTAGAGCCCACTTCATCAGATGGCTGAAGCAAATGCTACAGTGAATCTGTTAGTCTTTATGGTACTACAAGACTTTTTTGTTTGTTTGTTTCATCTAGTTGTGTGAATGTCACGTGGCTGCTGTTTTAACAAGTGACTAGTGGAGGCATGGAGGCTTGTATTGTGTGCCTCTGGGGTGTGCAGAAATCACTCATTTCAAGGATGGTTCTTAATGAAATCTCTCCAGTTTCTATAAGATATGCCCTCCTTGGGCCTTCAATAGCTATAAGAAGGCGCATTAAGATGCTTATAAATTTCTATGTACAATGTACTCGTGGCTGTTTCCAAAGTTAAAATAATATAACTCTTCCAAATGTGCACACATTAGAAGCATCAAACCCAGCTGTTAATATTTGTTTTTAAAAAAATCTGTCACAGATGAGAACCAGAACTAAGGTGAATACAGCAGCAACTGTAAATGAGGAGATGGGAAGGCCACAGATTGATCAAACCGGCAGAGACTGACCAGGAGAGAGATCTTACAGCCATGATAGATAACTCACTGAAAATATCGACTCAGTGCGTGATGAGAATAAAAAAGGAAAATTCTATGCTGGGGGATTATTGGGAAGGAAATTGAAAAGAAATCAGCCAGTATAATAATGCCCCTTTATCAATCGATGGTGCGGCCTCATTTGTAATACTGTATACAGTTCTTGTCACCACATCTAAAAAAAGATATAGCGTTGGGAAAAGTGCAGAAAAGGGCAACTAAAATGATTAGGGGGATGGAACACTTTCCCTATGAAGAAAGGTTAAAGAAGTTAGGTCTCTAGCTAGGAGAAATGATGATTGAGGGGTGACATGATAGAGGTTTACAAAATTATGCATGGGATAGAGAAGGTAGAGAAAGACGTACTCTTCCCCTATCTCACAATACAAGAACTCATGGGCACTCATTGAAATTAATGAGCAGTAGGTTTAGAATAAATAAAAGGAATTACTTATTTACCCAAAGAGTCATTAACACATGGAATTCACTACCACAGGAAGTGGTGGTGAGTACAAGCATAGACAGCTTGAAGAGGGGATTAGGTAAACATATGGAGCAGAGGTCAATCAGTGGGTATTAACCACAACGTACAGATGGAACACTATGTCTGGGACAGTGATGCTCTGTATTGTTCATGAATGGGGGCAACAGTGGGAGGGCTTCTGGCACCACAGATGGACCTCCTGATGGCACATTTTTTGGCCACTGTGTGACACAGAGTGTTGGACTGGGTGGGCCATTGGCCTGATCCAACATGGCTTCTCCTATGTTCTTGTGTAAACTAGAATCAGGAGAAGTGACCTCACAGGCATTAAAATGAAAACAAAACAACAATTAAGAACTAACATCCTGAGATAAAAATGTTTTCATCATTAAGCTGAAATGGCCACATGCCAGCTGAATGCATGTTTATATTACAAAAATGTCACAGAGCAAATAAGGCCTATTCCTTGTTGTTTAGCAACCTTACTACAGATGTTGAGGACACATATAGCAGTGCCTTAGTCGAAACAAGCTGGAGAGCCACAAAGATTTGTGGGGGGGCATTGATTCCCCCCCAAAACACACTTTTTTTCTTTCCCTTCCCTGAAAGGTCCCACAGACCCTCCTTTTTTGCTTTATTCTTTCCTTCCCTCCCACCAAGTTACTTTTATCCCCCCCCCTTCAGCTTTCCATCCTTCCTTTCCCGTAGCAGCCTCTGCCTCAGAAAACTCTGGTCAAGTTGTACAGTGCCAACTGCTTGGCTGAGGCCATTCGCAAGGCTGGTAACCTGCAAGGACTTGCAGAGAACACCTCATTCCCCCCTGTATCCCCTTCCCAAAACTATTTTCTCTTTCTGTCTTCTTGGCAACCCTTATACCCTCCTCACCTTTCACTGCTTTCTTCTTCTCACCCACCAATGAACCAACCTTTTATCTGTGTCCCATCTTCTTCAGCTACATTTATTATTTATTTACTTCATTTATATCCCACCTTTGTCTACAATGGGGACCCAAAGTAACATATCATTCTCTCCTCCATTTTATCCTTAAAACAACTCTGTGAGGTAAGTTAGGCAGAGAATATGTGACTGGCTCAGTGAACTTCCACAGCACAGTGATGACTGGAACCTGGGTCTCCCAAATCCTAGTCTGAAACTCTACTACACAACACTTTTTTGGTGGGGTGGCTGCTGTTGAACAGTAGCAAACAGCCAGGCCTGGGTGAATCATGCAAGTCATGTGGTATCAAGTCACCCAATGGTTGCCCCCTGATGTGGGAGAAGCACCCACAGAATGCTATTTAACCACTGAGTCCAGTGTCAGATGTTCTTTGTATAAATTCAGATATACACAGATGTATCTGTGTGAGAGAGTGAGTGAGAAAGAAAGAAAGGGAAGAGCCACTTATTGTGGTTAAGAAGAGGAAACTAAAATACTCATTTTTTTGCAATTTTAAAAATATTATATTTAAATAGTTAATATATGTACAACAATTAATGCCAAAATCAAAGCAGCCAACATATCCTTTTTTCCCATTGCACATGGAAATACCAAGGGCTTCCTTAATTACTCTGTTTTAAGGAATTTTTAAAACAAGCATTTTATTTATTCAGCTAAATAAAGTTACTCATGGCTTGTGCATTTTTTTAACAAATGTGCCTAGTTTGTGCTTATACAAATAAGTGTCATTTAACATGATAAAAAATAACCTTTCTGACCTTGCAGCCAATGGTATAATGGTGTAATACTAAATTCACTCTGTTTACTTCAGTGAAGTTTTTAATCTAGTTTTATATAAGATTGTCATTAAAATATAGACCAATGTATTTAGTTCAATGTGCTAGCTATCATCTTATTTATATCTTGTTGCTCTTAGAAAAATATACTTCAGAAAGGTATTTTTCTTCTGGATACTGTTTGATTTTTGTATGACACTCAGGGTGCGATCACATGTACCAAAAGTGGCGGCAACGGTGTGATTCCCCCACGGAGTAAAGGGGTTCGATCAGACAGAAACATCTGTCCAGCGCCCTGGAGTCATTGGCAGGGCGTCTTGTTGCATGGAAAAAAGCCACCGGGGAAAGGCTACTACTATCTGGAACTGTGGGGCGCGCAGGCGGAAGTCTGATCGCGCAAACGCGTGCCAGTTTGGCTCAGGGAAAACAGCCTCGCTTCCCACCCGCATTTTCTCGCTCATGTGATCGCAGCATATGTGTCTTTATTTTTTCATAAAATATTGTTTTCTAGATTTTGGGCTTGTTCTCCAAAGGGTTTTGTTTTGTTTTAAAGTTCAAGCCTAGGTTTGGAAATATTTCTTCCGTGTTCCCAGCTTTAAATGTTTCTGTAGATTTTCTTAAAATGATATTTTGAAGTGGGTAGCTGAAGAGGAATAATTTAGGGATTTTCCCTTTTCCTCTGTTGGCAAACTCAGTTTTCTTAGAAAACACATACTCTGTGTAGACCCTTTAGATATGCTTCCACTTTTAGTTTTAAATTTAGCTCACAAAAAAAATATTGGTGTTAAAAGGATGACCTAGAGACCGTAAATAAGGATTGTTGGAGACAGTCTTGTTAAAATGGGTCAGTGTTGTCAGAGAATAATAAAGATGCTCACCTCCGCCAAGGTAGAAAACATGTGTACTCAGTGTAGCTAATGGGAAAGGTTTGTGGGAAAGATACCACTGTTACCCATGAGGCAGTCTCCACAAGTTGGAGGAATTATCTAAAGGTGACAGTGTGACTGGGATTCTCCAGCTGTGCATACCAGGATTTTTTCCCTGTAAGAGAACTCTCAAATAAACCAGGCAGATGTTCAAATGGAAAGGTTTTTATAAAAAAGAAAGTGAAAATAAACAAAAATGCATACACAGAGAGGAGTACGGTACCTCCTCTGTCAAAGGCATGTTCTGCAATGGTCAAGGTTCAGGCCTTTTTCAGTGGTTGCCCCATGTCTGTGGAACAGAAGAAGTCAGGGGGCTTCTTCTGGCTTTCCAGTGAGGGTGCAAGACAGAGTTATTCCAGAGAGCTTTTGAGGCATCCTGTTTTTCACAGTGGCTTATAACATGCCCCTAGAAAGCCTACAGTCAGGGGCATGGAGGCCAAGACCTTCCTCTGTTGCTCTTTAATAAATGACATTTAAAAATATACTAGCTCTTAACATAGAGTTTCCACTGTAGGCATTTTATCAGGAATTTTCCTAAGCCCCTTTTAAAGCTGCCCCTTCCTAAGCCCATTTTAAAGCTGCCTTTTAAAGCTGGTTTGTTATTTTATGTGACAGTGGTAGGGTTGTCATCCCCCAGGCGGGGGAAGGGGATTTCTGTTCCCAACTGGCATTTTCCACTGCCACCCAGGGTGGCATCAGAAGAAAAATTAAAAATGGCCATTGACCAGCTGTGTGGTATCACATCTGGGTAAACCCAGATGTGATACCATGCCTCTCTAGGAAATGGCCAAAACTCCAGGTTTTTTCCTATGGCCACCCCCTCCATGTTCCTGCCCCCACTTTCCTGCTAGTTGCCAGGCTGGGTCTGTCAACCCTAGTGCCACAACTTAAATATATGTTGTATGGAGAAGTATTTTCTCTTGTCTTTCTTGAATCTACTACCTATCCTCTTCACTGAGTAACCCCAAGATCTAGAATTATAAGAGAAGGAGAAATATTTTGTATCCCCATTTTCTCTGTATTATGCCTGAGAGCCAGTTCGGTGTAGTGGTTAAGTAAAAGGTAAAGGTTCCCTTGCTCGAAAGCCAGTTGAATCCGCCTCTAGGGTTGCGGTGCTCATCTCCGTTTCAAAGTCAAAGAGCCAGCGCTGTCCGAAGACATTTCCGTGGTCAGGTGGCCGGCATGACTAAACACCAAGGCACATGGAACGCTGTTACCTTCCCACTGAAGTGGTACCTATTTATCTACTTGCAGTTTCTTGCTTTCGAACTGCTAGGTTGGCAGGAGCTGGAACTAGAGACGGGAGCTCACTCCGTCATGCGGCAACTCGGGTCTCGAACTGCTGAACTACCGACCTTCCACAGCCTGCAGTTCAGCATCTTAACCACTTGAGCCACTGCAGCTCCTGGTTAAGTACGCGAACTCTAATCTGGGAGAACTGGGTTTGATTCCCCACTCCTCCACTTGCAGCTGCTGGATGACCTTGGGCAAGCCATAGTTCTGTCAGAGCTGTTCTTGAAGGAGCAGATCTTGAAAGAGCTCTCTCAGCCCCACCTACCTCACAGAGTATCTTTTGTGGGGAGGGGGAGGGAAACATAACAACATAAGAGAAGCCAATGTTGGATGAGGCCAATGGCCCATCCAGTTCAACACTCTGTCACACAGTAGCCAAAAATACCAGGTGCCATTAGGAGGTCCAGCAGTGGGGCCAGGATACTAGAAGCCCTCCCACTGTTGCCCCCCCCCCCAGCACCAAGAATACAGGGCATCACTTGCCTCAGCCTGAGAGTTCTTATCTATACCTTGTGGCTAATAGCCACTGATGGACCTCTGCTCCATATGTTTATCTAATTCCCTCTCGAAACCATCCATGCTTGTAGCTACCACCACCTCCTGTGGCAGTGAATTCCATGTGTTAATCACTCTTTGGGTGAAGAAGTACTTCCTTTTATCTGATCTAACTTGACTGCTCAACAATTTCATGGAGTGCCCACGAGTTCTTCCCTTTTATTAACGTCACTGAGACTAGCGTTCCACCACTTAAAGGAATCCTTCTTACCTTTTTCAGCGTCCATTATTTTGTTTGTTAACCGTGCAGGCCATTTTTTCTACCTATTTGTACCTTTCCTAACCTGTGATATGTACTTTATCTGACTGGTTTCCTGCTTCTAATGTAATTGAAGAAAGTTTCATTGTTGATCTTTATGTTTTCCGCTATATGCTCCTCATATTCCCTTTTTGCCTGCCTCATCACAGACTTGCATGTTATTTGCCACAGCCTGTGTTCTCTTTTATCAGCCTCTCTGAGACTAGCTTTCCACCACTTAAAGGAATCCTTCTTACCTTTTACACTTTTCATTACTTTGTTTGTTAACGAGGGAAAGGTGTTTGTAAGCTACTCTGAGAATCTGAGTGAAGGGTAGGGTATAAATCCAATCTCTTCCTCTCTTCTTCTACTTCTTCTTGTACTTCTTAGGTCCTCCCCCCTTCAACAGATACATCCCCAGATTATTTGGCCTATTCCACAGAGGGAAAGGCCATTTCTTTGTTTAGTTCTGATGAATAATAGTAACCTAACTCAGAGGTCTGTTACATTTATGAATAAATGCTGGTACGTCATCAAGTCTTTAGAGATATGGCAGGCTACCAACCTAACTTATTAATTACATTTCAAAAAACTATTTATGCAGAGTTCAGGGATAATGTTAGGATCACTTACATGACAAAAACCACTGAAATGAAATATGAGTAATTCCTACCCTCATTCGCCAGCCGAATAGTTTTTAACTCTTTGTTTCCATGAAGTAAAATTTCCACCATCAATTTATACATTGGCCATCACTGTTAAAGATCACAAATATTTTAAAAATGGTTTTAATGTTACTACATTCAACCCCCTCCAATAAACTTGCATTGATTTTGCTTATGTGGATACCTTATTTTTGTTAATGTTTCTTACAACTGTGAGGTAGACCTTCCCTTGATTGTACTTCTATGTGGGGGGGGCAGGTTGTGTGTGACTCCTTTTACAATTTCATGTCACACTCATGCAAAAGGCATCACTTCCCAAGTATTTTCAAGTGATGCATGCTTTGGAATGACAAGCATTCTCCTGCATATAGCATACTGTCAGATGGGATATTTTTATTCACTGTTACCCAGCTCTTCTACTCATAAAAGTTATCTCAGTTTGTATCATGTTTGCTTACTAGGCACAGCTGCTGGCACCATTTGCTGCTGACAACATTCACTTATACCATTGACTTTTATACTTGACACTTTAGCATAGAAGTGAATTAATTACCAGGGCTGCGGTCACACAGAGCATTAGCCATGCTACAGAGATGGAAGATAGGTGGATTTTCCAGGCGCGATCACACCGCAACATCTGGAGAAGCGTAGAGCTCCCGTGGCTCACCCGAGGTTTCCCGCCAAAGATGCGGCGTAAAAAACTAGTACCTCCGAGGTACTAGTTTCCGGAAACCATGGGGCAAGGGTGGGCATCCGGCGCCCACCCATGTCTCGTCGCAAAAAGGGTTTTTTCCCCAAGTCTCCACGGGATGCGCACAAGCACCCAACAGCGCATGTGCACACTTCGGTTTTAAAAAACCCACAACCCCGTTTGCCATGGCAGCGGCGCCTAGCCATTGCTGCTGTGATCGCGCCACAGGATTGTTGTGTTATCGGCACCTCCCCCCGAACCACGGGACGTCGGTGGGACATGTGATCCGGTGGCCATGCGTTAGTTTGCTCCGGGGCAAACAGCCACGCTCCCCCCCCCTCATTTTCCGGCCCGTGTGACCGGGGCCCAGGTTTACTTTCAAGGTTTGATTAAATGATCTCAGTGCTTTTCCATGCTCATAGGGAACTCCAGTACAAATACGAATACAACAAGCTGACTTTAATGCTGTCAGAAGGGACAGGTTATATGGCAGAAGTACTGAATGCTTACTTAAGGGAGAGGATGATTGCCATGCCCTTGAAGAATATGGTGGTTGGATTGCTGCTGAAGAACCCATCCCTATGTAGAGATTTAAAAACCTTCAGAAATGCTGAAGCTATGAGGGGATTATTTTTTGTCTTTCAGGGCAGGGGGTGGAAATTTGAGGACAAGTGCAACTATAGACAATAAGTATATTCATATACTTAAGTATATTCATAAGTATATTCATGGGCTTTTTTGAACAGAAGAGTATCTCACACAGTGACAAAAGGACTGCTAGCATATTTGGATACTGAGTTAAATTTATAACATTGAAAATACTGAATTCTTCAATATTATTTACCATAGATATTCAAGCATGTTAGTGATGGACTAAACTAGTCACGTTTAAAAATAAACACATCCTTAAAATGATGACTATGTTTATAGTATACACAAGAATTATTATTATCTCATGGTGTAGGTTTTTTTTTTACATAAGAGTATTCACATTACACATTTTGAATCAACAGATTTACACACCAAGATTTCCCCTGCTTCATGGTTTCTTTTTTCTTTGCATTTTGTGTGTGTGCATGCCCATGCCTGGAACTCATGGCGACCTCTACTGGGGCATGGAGGGCATTCAGAGAAGTGGCTTGATAGCCTGCCTCTGCCTCCTGGCCCTGGTATTCTTTGGAGATCTCCCATCCAAATACTTGCCAGGGTCAGCCCTGCTTAGCTTCTGAGATCTGATGAGATTGGACTTGCCTGGGCTATCCAGGTCAGGGCACCTGCTTCATGGTTTCTTGTCATCAGGCTTGCTGCTTGGTGCTTGCTGCAAATCTACTGGGCCCGCAGCAGCAGCATCTGTGACCCCAGCTGGCAAAGTGAGGATTCCCTGCCTGCTGGCTCACAGCAGCCACTAATCTGGCCTAGCCATGCCAAGCTGGGCTGGTAGTATAGCATCAACCTATGCTCCAGCTGACCCAGTAAAGGGGGGGAGGAAAGTGTGCATGTCAGTAACTTTATCTCCTGCCCCTTCTCTCTTTCTGTCTACCTCTGAACTAAAAGCAGGCAGCTGGGTGGGGGTGGACTGAGAAGTGAAAAGAGCCCTGGAAAGAGCCCCATCCATTGCTCACGTCTTGCACCACCCCCAATAGAGGGGGGAAAGGAACAAAAGCTGGCTCTCTTGCAGTTGTGGCAGCTGCTTGCTTGCTTCTCCTGCACAGTACCTGGGCAGCTGGGTCCTTCCCGGTGGAGTCTGTGGCTGCTTGCCTGCCCCATATGGGGCTGGGGCAGCCAGCTCCCTCATGGCAGCAGCTCACTAGTCTTACATGGGGCCTGGCCAGCCAGCTCATTTGTTTGCCCACCACCAGCTGGGACAGCCAGCTGACTCACAGTGGCTACAGGAACCACCCAGAACAAGATGAAGTCTGCTTCTTGCTTGTAGCTAGGGTGGTCCTCATGGGGGGGGGGGAGGCAACCTCTCAGTTTGTTGGAGGAGATTAAACTTAAGTTTTAAGACAGCTGCATTTATGACATCACACCGTGTTCCAGGCAAATCAGTTTGGCATATCTGTCAAGTGTTTGTGTTGATATGCTTGCACTGAAGCCGTCACCCATATGTTTGGACACACGACACAGTGTTCATTTCTGTATGGGAGCTTTCATCGTTGCTTATTTGAGTGTACACAATCCCGTTTTATGTTAAGTAGGTGGGTTGCTGATTTGTCAGCATGCCATTCTGGATCAACCCTTTATGAATTGTTTTTAAGCACCAAAGTTGACAATGAAAGCTTTTATAGCTGTAGCCCAATTAGCCATAATCATTCTTGTTCAACTTTAGTAAAGAACTGGAGTATGTGATGAATGTAAAGTATTCATTTCTCCTTTTTTCCCCCTCTGCCCATTTGCTGCCTTCTCACTTCATTTTGCAAAATAGCCTTTAACTGCTTTGCTTTTTCTTGTTCATTTTGCAGATTGAGAATGTTGATGTCTGTCTTAGCTTTCTGGCAGCCAGAGGAGTAAATGTCCAAGGTCTTTCTGCTGAAGGTAAGAAAAACACATTGACAGCACAGATAATGAAATACCTTCTTGAAAAATAACTTCTTAAATATTTATTTACAGTGGGAAAATAACATACTGTGTTCAAAAGACAGCTGATTTTAAAAAAAATAGCCCGAGTTTCTTCGTATAAAATAAATTGAATGTTTCCTATGGGAAACATAGGAAATTAATATTTTGTGTTTGTATACACCATTGTATTTCCTCTTTTCTAACAATAGATAGGTACAGAAAACAGATAGTGTATGCATACTACATACATAGAGTGAAAAAATGAATATAACCTTCACTGTAATAGTGATTATCATGAAAACAGGGTACAACCTATGTCTCATTAAATTCAACAGCAAATCTTAATAAGAAAAATATGCATTAAGTCATACGAGGGCTTGCAAGCTTATGCTTCACACTCTTGATCAGTTTGGGAAGTTGGTCACCCATTGTCTGATGTAGTTAGTGCAAATTATATGTATTTAGACCTGAAATTATTTTTCAGATGAGATAGTAATAAATGTACTATATCTACATAATAATTACAGCTCCTAAGAATGCTGCGATGTAGTGAATGCAGTATATTCGACTTTGATGGGATTTGATAGTTTTTTTAACTTTGATAACAACATTGTACTTAGTATACGTGTCAGTCAGAAATAATTTCTGAATAGAGACAGCTAGTACAGTGCCGAGTGTGGAATTACAGCTTCTTTTTAAAGGAATGTTAGATGCAGCTGTCACAAATAACTGGCATTTCTATTCAGTTACAAACTTGCAAATTTTGAGCAATTTCAAGTAATAGGTTTCTTGAGTTACAAATGAGCACAGTTCAGAAGTTCAAATGCCTGATAGATGTTTTCTAAAATATACAGAAAAGGACACAGTCAGATACTGTTAACTTCAGTGGAGCATATTTGTAAGTATAATAGTAGCCTCCCATCTAGCTCAGTCAAAATAGATTTTGTTGATGATCCTGAAAGGAGTTTTACACTTTTTAGACTAATGGGTTTTTTCCCCCATTTATTTTCACCATTAAAACACATCCTCTTTGCAAGTGTTCTGATCCTGTGATCTGAACCTGTATGATCACTGTGGCTTAGGCTGGTGGTGATATGGAGTGCAAATCTTTAGAAATGGTGCACAGCTGTTTTTAAGGCCTATGTTAACAACTGAGTTTATACAGATGTGCAGTATAAATGTGATCTTGTTCAAAAACATTATTATTAAAACAATAATATAGCCATTTAGGTCTTTTAAAACAAATTTTCTATACTTTGACCCTTTAATGTTTGTGTATTATAACTGCATTTGAAAAAAAACCCCAAATATTAAAATAACATGAATATTTCATATTTGAAGAAAGAGTTCTAAGTCAGACATCTGAAGGATTTCTTATTCTTTGTGTAAGCAATGCTTTCGGAGTTATCATGCTGTCTCCTGTTTAGCTATGTAACTGCTGACTGTAGTTATGAATTTAGGAATTTTGTACAGAACATTCCTCACTGCTACTCTCACTTGATAAATCATTCAGTGTATCCTGAAAGAGTAGAGCAATAATAAATGTTCTTAGAAGGTGAGCCAATCCACTGGGATTACTGAAGAAATTAATGATGCTAACTAAATCTCAAACCACTTTAAAAAGAGAGCAGTGGACATAATCTTCCTTCCAATGACATAATGTTTTGGGATTTTATCCACTTTAATTCTTTATTTTTCAAAGACAGAAGTTTCAAAACCACACATGATAATATATCATATCCTCATTTCTGCTGTTTGTTTTTTGTTTTTGTAGTGATTTTTTTTCTCACAGAAACTTTATTTTTAGTTTTACCTTTTTGACAAACAGTTATCTTAAAAGAATTTGAGTCTTCATGAGAATATTTTATTTTAATCTCAACATGTTTCTACATTAAAAAATACATAATAATTAAAAAAACCCTAGTCACAATCCAGATTCCTACCAATCCTCCTAAAGGTGTGCAACGGTAAGACTGGTATGTGCATAGCCTTTTCCAAAAATCAGAGATTGCAGTGGTCTGTTTGTCAGCCAGCAAGGAGCGGGTGAAGTCAAGCCAGTGTCGTGCTGGAGGCTGAGGTCCAGAAGGCATGGCAGTAGTCAAGTTACTGCAGCTGTAGACAACAGTGTCATGGTTGTTAGCCTCCAGTTTGGTCCTGTATAGCTCATGGAATTACAGGTCATCTCCAGACTACATTCCCTTGTAGAAAATGGCTTCTTTGGCGGGTGGATTGTATGGCATCATACCCCATCGAGGCCCCTCCCCTCCCCTCCCCTCCCCTCCCCTCCCCTCCCCTCCCCTCCCCTCCCCTCCCCTCCCCTCCCCTCCCCTCCCCTCCCCTCCCCTCCCCTCCCCTCCCCTCCCCTCCCCTCCCCTCCCCTCCCCAAACCCTGTCATCTTCAGGCTCCTATTCCAAACGTCCAGGAGTTTCCCAGTCCACAGCTGGCAATCCTGCTGTTCCAGCAAAGGCAGAAAATGAAACAAGGCCTTTAAATATTCTTTCAGAAAGGAGAAGACAGAGGCCCTCCCCTCCAGGACCAGGCGGCCAATAGGGCAGTGAGTACTGTGGTGAGGCTGAGGTGGTTAAGGGCTTTGAGAAGCCTGAGAGAGCAGTTGGGGAGAGATCTCTGATTCAGCAGGAGGCTCCGGGGTGGAGGGTTCAGGACCAAGTCCAAATCAGAAGGCAGACCCATAGTCCTGGACTCCTGCACATCAGAGGCAGCTTCTGGAGCGTCTTGGCTATCTCTTTCTGCAGTTGTGTTAGCTGCCACCTACTCTGAGTCTTCAGCCTCTCTGCCTAATGAGGAGGGATCCGTACTCTGGTAAATGACAGCCAGGCTCCTGCTGTTTTTATCAAAGACCCTATAAGCACAATCACCAGTTTTTCTGACAATTGCTAAGTGTACAGTTTGGTTATATAACAGACCCAATGGCTGATCTGGGGTCAGTGGATTTATTGTATTTCTTTAAAATAACACCATACACCTGTGCATGCTTGAAGAAATGGCTGTACTTGTTTTGCAACAACAGTAGTAGGGTCTATAAATAGTCACATGACTAGGGTTGCCGACCTCCAGGTGGTAGCTGGAGATCTCCTGGGATTACAACTGGTCTCCAGGTGACACAGATCAGTTCATCTGGAGAAAATGGCTGCTTCTGAAGGTGGACTTTATTGCATTATACCTCACTGGAGTCCCTCCTCTCCCATGCCGTTACAGCAGTCCAGTTTTCAGAAAGAGTATCTTATTTTTTTAAAGGTTGAACATAGGTTTAAATCAGAAATTTCATGTCTTCCGTGTTCTTTAAAAAGCTTTAAAAAGCCTAAAAGCTTCTTTAAAACAACAACAACAACCGAGCTGTATTTAAAAGGCATACTTAGATCCTCCTGGACTTTAGCTGCTGTGGTTTTTACTGTTCATTCTTTCATATTTATTTTCTATTTTTTTTCTTTTAAAATGTTCTGGAAATTTATAGTCTGCTTTCAGACAGCGCATTCTTAAATCAGTTTAATCTGATTATCTATGAGTGAGAGAAGAGAATTACATTTGTTATTCTTCACTGTTATATCATGTCTGTAAATATAAGCCAAAAATGTTCATGATCTGGTGTATTGCACTTATTTATTAAAATTGAAGGTTGTGACCTTTCTTCAGGAGATGTGTCACAAGGACCACAAGGCACTCCCCCCCCAGCACACATAACTAACCCTTCCTGTTGTCACAGTTTGCTCCACAAAAGGAATATTTGCACAGGTTTACTTCAATGCAAAGTGGCCAGTGGGAAATCCCTATAGTACTAATCAGCTCAGAAATGGGCTAGAAGAGAGCCCTGGAACTCCCAAGGTCGTCCTTCCTATTTCTTCTTCCCATCCTTACAGGAAGATCAGCAGGGTGGGTAAGAAACCTCACTCAAGCTCAAAGTAGATGAGATAGTGAGAGATCTGTGAAAGTATTTCCCTAGAATTTGTAATGTAAGAGCCACCACTGTGAGTCCCAATTCTGACTTGATCACTTTTCTAACCCCAACGCTGGCCTTCCTCCTGAAGTTGCTATTTTCCCTGCTAGGGGGGGGGGGGGGGGGATAGTTTACTTTACATTACCCTCAATCTGCAAACTCCCTGTGCTGCAGACCTAATCCAAATTGCACCTCCACAACTATTTACCAATAAAAACTGCCAGGAGAATCATTCAATATACTCTCAAAGTATCAAACTTATCTGGTTAGGCTGTCAAAAAAGAAAAGAAAATGTCTTTATTTAGAAAAACTTTATGTCACCTTTCCAGGAATCTGCCTGAGGTGGCTTATAAAACAAAAAACAATGTAAACCAAAGCATTAAAAGTTATAGATTAAAACCCAGGTGCATTAAAGACCATAAAAACAAGCCACTATTTTTTGCTCTAACTATTCAGATTACCTTTGGCCAGTGAAATCTCCAAGTTTGTTTCCCTTCTACATTGTGAAAAAAATAAGATTTACAGGGGGCTCAACTTTTTTCTGCACTGGAGCTGAAACGCCTGCCACTGGTTCTAAGGAGTTTTAGAAGCCAAGAAACCAGTAGTTGGCACAGAACCAATTTAAATTTGAGCAGACTTCAGGAATAACAACAACAACAACAACAACAATAATAGCAGTAGTAGTTTATACCATGCTCTTCACTACCCAAAGGTGTCTCAGAGCGGCTTACAAACTCCTTTCCCTTCCCCTCCCCACAACAGACACCTTGTGAGGTAGGTGGGGCTGAGAGAGCTCTGAGTCTGACAGAAACTGCTCTTTTTCAAGAACAGCTCTTATCAGAGCTACGGCTTGCCCAAGGTCATCCAGCCAGGTGCAAATGGAGGAGTGGGGAATCAAACCCAGTTCTCCCAGAGTCCGCGCACTTAACCACTACGCCAAACTGGCTCAAACAGCCACTGCTGATCCCTTTATTTTATACTTTAAAAAAATAAAATTGTTTTAATTAGTTTTAACCTGACTAACCTTGAATGATCTGAAATCCATAAGGTCTTCACTAACCCTGCTCTGATAACATATGTATACTAGGAATGTCCATAGATTTCTGTCTAGAAAACATCCTTCAGTTAGTGCCTAATGAGCAATTTCCAGTGGTGGAAAGTATTGGGTCTAGAATTACATCATAAAACAACTTCATCTGAAAAAAAGAATATGAAGAATAAGAGTCAAAAGTCTAATTTTGATATTTTTACCTTTTTTGCAGAAATAAGGAATGGAAATCTGAAAGCCATTTTGGGGCTGTTTTTCAGTTTGTCTCGTTATAAACAGCAGCAACACCAACAGCAACAGTACTACCAATCTTTGGTCGAGCTACAGCAGCACGTCTCTCATTCTCCCCCTCCCGCTGATATTGGCCAGCCCAAAACCCAGCAAGATATGCAGTCCAGGTAGGTCAGACTGTTTCCTTGGGTGAAGTGATACCATTTTGTAATAAAGATCTACAAAATCTTTCCAAAGAACAGCAGCTAAAAGAACACACTGTCCAATCCCAGGCACATTTACTTGGAAGGAAGCCCAACGGAGTTCCTACATAACCATGCATAGGAATGCAGCCATGGGCTACATTTATGCAAACAGGTTAGCAAATGTATTGGGTGCCTTTCATTCTCTCTCACTCTTGCGTTATTTACACTGGGCCATGCAGGCAGCCATAAATGTCATGGAGGGAAAGCATTCAAGTTGTTACCTAATGTCCAGAATTCTTGCAGTGGGGGTTCTAAACAATGTTCCCTCCAATCTGTGGAGTTTTGTGAACAAAGATTCTACTTTGTGAGCTGATGGCATTAAAATTTTGAGCGAGCAATTTGGCTACTGCATAAATTTGTTTGCTCTAGAGCTATCCTTCCTGAGCTAAGACAAAAATGTGTGAGCCGGAGGCTAAAAAAATTGTGAGCTAGCTCACACTACCTCAGCTTAGAGGGAACACTGGTTCTAATTATGACCAAAGGGTAGGGAACTTGAGTGTGACAAAGTGTGCTCTGACTCACAAAAGTTTATGCTGGCATAAATTGTGTTAGTTTTAAAAGTGTCACTGGACTCAAGTTTAATCTCTCATAGACAATGTAGTCTAAAGTTCAACTTCGAATCATGAAGCTCTCTGAGTGGCCTTGAGCCAATCATTCTTAATCACCCTGTCTAATCTACCTTAGGAAAGGTACCTTATTGGGAGGATTTTTTTTTTTAACTCTGAAAGATGGTCTAAAATATAGATACTCTTTGTTGCATACAGGGATAGGGCTTATTTTTTTGTTCATTCTAGCTTCTGTCCATCACAAAGATACAGTGAATTGCATTGCAGGAAGTAGCCCCAACCAGACTCCTGGGATATTGCTGCATGACTACATTAACTGTGATTGTGTTCTTAAAAAATGGCGGAACCCCATAGTCCTTACCAAAGTCCCATAGTCCTTGCTTCTGTTTTTCTTAATGCAGCCTTACTCAAAACTGCATCTTTTTTTTACTATAAAGTACTGAACTATGGTTGCTAGAAGACATAGTAGATGGCCACAGAGGCTGTATTAACACCAATCTAGAAATTTGGGTTTTTATAGAATGTAGCTGCTAGGGTTGCCAGGTCCATCGGACTTGCAGTTGAGGGAATGGAGGGAGTGTTCTGGGAGTGAAAAGTGACATACCCAGAAATAAATGTGACGTGTCTACGTCACCTGGAAGTGATGTGGGCACATCGGTGACATTGGGGGCAACACTCTGCTTTTTGGGGAAAACTCTATGGTAAAATTGGCTTCATGTCACATTTACTTCCTGCTTCTTCCCTCCCTGCTTCTGGTAAGCTGCATTTATGTCTGGCTTGGGGGGGGGGTCTGGTGTCCCTTTCTCCCCACTCCCTGATGGCTCTGAAGTAGGGGGAGGGGTTCTAGTAGCTGCAGGGAATTTTTTTAAAGGAGCCTGTTTGGACTCCAAACAGTGCTGCAGGAGTCCCCCAGCTATTTTCCCATGCTGAATTAATTCTCTTTTTTTGCTACTCCGTATGATCCAGGTAACAAGGTTCCACAAATCTCTCTCAAGCAGGTCAAACTGGTAGGGCCATTAGCAAAACTTCAAACATGTTAATCCCATACTGGCCCTAGCTTTATTGCAGCCTTCTTTAGGCCATTTTGTTGCAGGTGAGGCTGCTCCTTTCCTCAAGCTGAGTCAGCTCCTTTACTCATGAGGAGTAGTGAGGGCCATATCCTGCAAAGACTTATTGGTTCCTCCTGGCATTCTCTTAGCAGAGAGGAGGCCTCAGGCTGCCAAGCACACACTCCTGTGCCTGGTCCAAGCCTAAGCCCTTGCTTTTCACCTCTCTTCCTGGGGTCTGGCAGTAGGCAGATCCGTGCTGGAACTTCCTGGCTTGAGGACTCTGCTCGCTCAGAGGGTAGCACTGGCAGTAACTCAGGGTCCCTTTGGGGAGGCCTCAGACACCAGACTCACTGGAAGAGTCTGCCAAGGCAGGGCTTGGGGATAGATTCTCCTCCTCCTCCTCCTCTGATGAGGACTTATCTTCCCACACTAAACCATGACACCTAGCTGATTATTAGGCAAAGACTGAAGCACAACTTTGAAGCATAACTAGATCAAATTAGAGAAGATAAGTGTAGTTCTGTTTAAATATTTTCCCATTTTTCAACCAAGAGTGTCTGGCCCTGAGAGGTTCTACCCAAGTCACCATCAAAGGACACCAGAGTGCAAATCGGTATGTTCCTGGCTAGAACTCAGTCAACTCTTAACTATTGCAGTGTAAGGAATTATTGGGAAACTCTACAGGGGAAAAATGCTTTTCAGATTGTTGCATGATTATCAAATGAATTCAGTATGGGTGAAAGGAAACTGCATATTCAAAAGCAAAAGCCACTTAGCACTGCTCAAATTATCTACAATGATGGGCTAATGCAAACCAGACATTATTCTCTAAACCATTCAGTCACAATTCCATTTACTTGAATGAGGCTAGAAGTAACACAGCACTCAGAGGATCAGACTTCTATAATCAAATACAAAGAATGCATGGTCATAACAAAGCAATACACTGTTGCCATTAATTACAGGTAGGTGTGGGTGTGTAAATTATACCCTTAGCTTTATTTTAGCACTTTTGAAGAGCAAGGAGTTAAATAAAGATCTTTTCTCAATGTTTTTTTCCCCCTGTTAAGTGTTAGCTATTGAAATTCAATTGATAGTGGAATTGTTAGCAATTGTATTGCATTTTTTCCCAATGAACCTGAAAATCCTATACAAGAATGTACTGAGTTTTTGCATATGTGATAGAAAAATATGTGATAGAAAAAGGCACATCTATCTTGTTTTATTGTTTTATTGCTTTTATTGTTGTAAGCCGCCCTGAGCTGCTTCGGTGGGAGGGCGGGGTAAAATTCAAATAAATAAATAAATTAAATTAAATTAAATAAATATCTGAATGATAATTTTAACTTAGTATAAATTAAATTTAGTATTATTTGTGTATGTATCGTATTTGAACAACAATGTCTGAGAGGTAAGATAATTCAGCATACTGCATACTGGCAAAATCTGGAATCCCTACAGTAATAGATTTCATATCTAATATTCTGAAAGCTTTTCCCATCCCATATTATGTTTAATATAAACATATTTCACTAGCTATAATACATATAATGTGTGTTTTAGCAGGACCATCCTATTCAATATAAAATAATTTTAATATTGGGGCAAATGCAATTGTATATATTTAAATCATTATAAATACTGTGATATACAATTATGGGTTCTCTTTTAGGGGTATATACCACACATTGGGGAAATATTGAACAATGAAGAATTTGGAGCACCTTACCATTAGGGGAGCTACCTAGGCCCCGTTCATACGAGGCAGTTTGGGCCGGGAGCGGGCCAGATCGGAAGCGCGGCAAACGGGAGCGATCCGACATCAACATCTGCCTGGCGTCGCGCCCCCGCCTCCGATCCGGCCCTTCCCCCGTTGATGCGCGGCAAAAATGAACCACCTACCTTAGGTGGTTCATCCGTTTGGGCTGCATCTTCCTGGCCGTGTGATCGGCGGCGCGTCTTGCCGCCGCCGCATCCCCGGCCCCCAGTCGAACTGCGCATACCCGAGCATGCGCAGTTCAGCAGCCTCCCCCTCCCACTCGCCTCTTTCTCCCCGGCATCTGATTGTGCCGGGGAGCAACGGTGCGCCGCTAACGGGATCCGTGGGATCCCGCCGAGGCGTTTCTTTTTTGGCGCGGCTTTTAAAAGCCGCGCTTCTCGTTTTTCCCCTGCCGTGTGGCAGGGGCCCTAGAGAAGCATTTTTACTGTGGCAAGTGATCTGCACAAATACCCTTTTCTGGAATCACATTGATAGATGTGTTTCAGCTGTCCAGCAACAGCAAAAACTGAAATCTAATCTAATAAAATCTATTGCTGGAGGGACCCTGAAAAGGGCTGGGCCCGGGGAACTGAGTAAGAAATCCTCTAGGACCCATTTAAAATGAAATCCTAAGAACAATTTCTTGTGAGTAAACCCATTGAATAGTCCTGAGTAGGACTGTACTGTTGTACAGGAGTAGGATTATATAGTATACTTTCTTAAGATTGTACTGTTAAGTCTTATGGCCATGTACCAGTTGGATTGTTAAAGGGATAGGTGTTCCTTCATCTTATTAACATTTGTAAGTCTTACTTTGTGCTTGAATGCATAAAAGTATGATTCACACTAACACTTGCCTTTCAGAATTCGAGTCCAGGGGCACCTTTAAGACCGACAAAGTTTTATTCAAGGTATAAGCTTTCGTGTGCGCACACACTTCTTCAGATACATCTGTTTTTTCACCAAGAAGGGCTATACATCCTCTTTATTTTAGTGTATTTCATATTTGGAATAGTAGATTGGAATAGTGATTATAATGCAGTGCAATGAATAGTAGAATGTAATGTAATTTGGAATGGTGGCTTGGAATGTATTTCTCTAGTCTGGTGACAGAGGAAACAAAATATTGTTTGGCTAATCACCCCAGCTTAAAGAAAAGGATGCTTAGAGGAGAGCATCTCCGTGCTTGAGAGGAGATGGATGGAGTGTAACAACAGGGTCTCACTTGATTGCTCTCAGCATTCCATAATTAAGAGGGGTACATTTGTACATCATTCTCCAGTTTTGATATGTTTATTTACATCACTATGTTTTCCCCACAAAATTGGATCCAGGCAGATGGTGACCATGTAAACTAAGCTTGTTATCCCCATTTGGTCCTTGCATCTGTTGAACATCTTCATTATGTTGCGTGCTAATTGCTGCCTTCCCTCTACCTATATGTATGGACTGGTAACTTTCATTTCAATGTATCTGAAGAAGTCTGCATGCACACAAAAGCTTATACCTTGAATAAAACTTTGGTGGTCTTAAAGGTGCCACTGAACT